TAAAAATAAGATTTATTGATAAATATGTGTAAATCAATCATTAAAATAAATGCAAATGAAGATCGTTTGTATGTTATTTTTTAATTTTTATGCCTATAAATCACTTCATTAAATATCACGTTAGTTAAATGGTAACAAGTTATCGAACAACGTTAAAATTTAATGATTCATGAACATCAAATTAATGGTAGGACAAAAATTCTATATCTTAAAAAATAGAAAGACTAAATATCTCTATTTTAAAATAGGAGGACCAAAATTACATATTGACCAAAATAATGGAAAAATCAAAAGTACAATTTAACCTTTTTATTTTCATTTTTGTAAATAGAAACATTATGATATAAAATCTTTGATATGCACGTAAGGTCATGCTAATTAGAGGACCCATTAGTTATGAGTAAGGGTGTTTGTGAATTGTATTACTATTTATTTAATTTCATTAAGTAAATAATTTATGTGATATGGTGTTTAATTTAATATTTTAGAACTTAAAGAATTAAGGAATTCTTATAAGTTTATGTTGTTTGGGAGTTGTTTTAAGTTGAGATCAATGTTGACCAAGTTTATGGAAAGGTATATAAAGTTTTCTTAAGACCTAAACTTCATAAGTTCACTTCCTTAAAAATTATAGAGAGAAGTTAGAGGGATAGACCTTGGAGCCATTAGTTATTATTCTTTCCTTCTAACTCCATTGTAGAGCTCTAATCCTCCTTTCAAAGCTTAGATTGAGTTATTGACTTATGATTCAAAGCATAGAGTGTTGAGAATCATAGTTGGTGTCGTTGTATGACAGAAGCTTGGGAGGTTTTGTTCTTCATCATTCTCCTTGCTTTTCCTTGTCTCTAGGAGAATTGAGGTAAAAGAAGCTTTTAGTTTGATCTTGTTGTGCCGTATGAGTTGTTCATTGTTTAAATTCATTAATTTTTGTGGTTATGTGGTTGATTTCAGAAGTGAAGCATCTTGTTACTTGGGTTTTGGTTGTGTTTGGGATAAATTTGTGACTTTGGATCATGTGTTGATTGCATTTTTTTACTTTTGAAGAATCTGAGTTGTATATGTTTTGAAATCAAAGTTGCATGTTGGATTTAGGTGATTTAAGACAAAATGTGATTCTATGAAGTGCAAAAATCACATTGGTGTCAGGTACAACTTCATGACTCCGAGTGTGATGCAAGTTAAAGGTTTTGTACCTCATGAATGTCAAGCGTGAGATGAGTAGCATTGGGGTGAGTCAATTAGGGGCTATTTGACTTGGTTATGTCGTGCATGGAATAAGAGGCATCGAGTGTGATTGCAATACGAGCTCTAACTTGGTGATGTCGAGCGCAAGATGAATGATGTTGGGCATGAGCAAATCAAAGGCTCTCTACCTTGGTGAGGTCGGGCATGGGATGAGTAGCAATGAGTGTGGTTAAGTTAGAGACTTTCTGTCTCACTAATGTTAGATGTGGAAAGATTGGTGTTAAGTGTGAGTAATCTAGAGGCATTAACACCGAGCATGGGAAAGTGGCATCGAGTGTGGGCACCAAGCGTAGTTTGATCACATCAGGTGTGAGTGTACTGAATGAATATAAATATGTTATTGTGTGTTGTGTTGTGAATGTATGAGAAGTAATGTTGTTTAGTAGTATTGTGTTATGAGATGTATGGTGATGACATATTGCCCTCCAAAAGTTATATTACAAGGGCAACGTAAAAAATAATGCAAGAGGAATGAGCTCATGATGAATGTATAAGGCTTAAGCTCCTTTCGAGCTATATATTAATTCTTTAGTCCATTTCTTCTTTGTGTATATTTTTCATTGTAAATATTTTTTTAATTTTGACCTTGTATTTTTAGATCAATTAGTATAAGAAATTATTTTCTTGTAATTCTTATTTTAGAGGTACAAATAGTATTTTAGGGGGTGTAACTAGAAAATTAGATATGTGTGTATTGGGCTTGAATGGCCCAAGAGAGCATGGATGGACTTGTGGTCCCTCATGGTGGATGTCCACTTTGTGGACAAATACCTTTCTTGGTCATTCAAATTCCAACAAGTCACATGTGTCACACCTATAGTCACACTTTTGGTACCTTGTCATGTGGCAAACCTCTATTAGCTCTTCTAAATCTAGGATAGTGACATGTAGTCGTCACACTTGTTGCACCTTGCCATGTGACATGCTTCTATATTGACTCTTCTATATCTAAGATAGTGACATTTTTAGGAGAGAAATTCATATTTTGAAATGCAACTAGAGTTAGTAGTCTTGAGTATAAATTAACGTAACCTAGATTACATGTAACCATGGCTAGCCTAACTTACACCACAAGCTACCAAACTTTATAAATTGGATCTTTCTTTTCTTGGGAGTCACTTTTGAAGATTAATGAGAATTGATTTCTAAAACTATTTCTCAAAAGCTCTTAACTTTCTTTTTTTTATTTTATAGAATTTTCTCCTTTTTAACTTTTATCAAGGAATTCCTTTTTGTGACAATTTCTTCACCTCTTACTTATCTTCCTAGAGGAGTGGCGTACCATTTTCTTCTTCTTTCCACCATTTTCATTTCACTTTTGAAGCTTAGGATTTATGGATGAAGATTGGAGCATCAATAGGGCTAGATGAGAAGATTCACCATGTTTCTCCTTATTAGTTTCTTCATATATATGAGACATGTTGTAGTGTTGAATTATGTTGATAAGATGCATGATGCATGATATTGGATTGTGTTGTGAACTTAGGACTAGAGAAGAGATATTTTAAAAGTTAAAATATCTCATTGTGTAGATATGTGTTGTGGTGCTCTAAGAGGTCAATTGTTGAAAACTCTTCTTAAGTATTGTTGTCTCTTGAAGTGAAATGTTGAGTCTCCTTTAAGTCTTTAATTGATACTAAATGGGCACAAGGTTGAGCCATATTGGTTTAGAAGTGACCAACTAGTAAGGTATGAAGTCAATGGATAAGATCCTTAATTGATTACTAGAAAGGGGAGCAATATATGAAGGGTAGTTAGTGAGTTAATTCTATATAGGCATAGTTCATGCATACTAACATTTTGGTAGGCCTACACCCAAGTTGTTCTATTCCTAAAGGGATACTAGACTTTCTTAGTGTAAATGACGAAATTTGAGAAATCATGTTGTGTTGTGGATTGATATCCAAATTTGTTGTTGATCTAGCAAGTAAAAAAGATTGCATCGTTAAATTAGTTTGATAGGATCAAACCACTTAAATTATCTACTTGTGTTGTAAGAGATCTCTTAGTTAAAATGCATGATGATATATATTGTTGCTATGTTGTGATGGTTGTGTCATATGTTGCAATGTTGTTTAAGTTTGACATGTTGCTAAGTTGTGTTGTTATAATACTGTGCTGATATGTTGAAAAGTTGCTAAGTTGACATGATTGTTCAATTAAAAATGATGATGAGTTGTATAATATGTTGTATGTCAAAAAGTTGTTAAGTTGTAAATGTATATTGTATGATGATATATATGTTGTTACACTAACATTGGGTTGTAGTCATATTGTGATTGTGAAATTGTTTTATAGTTTGCGTTATTTACTTTTATATTATGATACTTTCTTGTTTATGATCTTACCTTTGCATTTTCTTTGTTGTTAAGCTATAAAGTGTAGTGACTTATCAAATCGTTACATTTGTTAATTCGAACAATTCAATAAAATTGATGATCTGAACTAAATTAAGTTGGTTTGATTTTTTCTTGGTCGAATCAAATTCGATCTAAACTAATTAAATCCAACCTTAATTGGTTTGGATTACGAATTTTCATTTTACAAATGTTATGATTTGGGAACTAAACAAATTAAAATTATTATTATTATTTTATAATAATAATTATTATTATTTTATAATATTATGATTTTATAATATTATCATTTAATAATTTTAATATGTTTTATAAAATTATTCTTTTTTATTAGTTACCCAACACTCACTTACCGAATAAAATACAATTTATACCTAGGCATAGGCTGAACTCCGTATGGCCATTTGGCATTGTCATGTTTTGACTAGTTTCAGAGTAATTGTTCACTTCGTCTTAATCTTGCCATTAGACTTGGTACTAAAAGTTTCTAATATTTTTATTTAATATATTATTTACATAATGACATTCAAGTTGAGAAAAAAACTACATGAATGTAACTTGGATAATAATTGCAACTTAAACAATTTAGTTATGTTTGAGGGAGTACGTGAGTTTTAATTTTTAGAATACTTAAATTTCATATGTTAGACTATGTTTAAATATTTTAATTTCATATTTCATAAATTACTTTTTTATTTTATACTTGAATATTATTTACACTCTTTTAAGGATAAGTTTTTATTTAAATTTTAAGATAAAATTAATAATTTATTTTTGTTTTAAAAATAATAAACATCTACCAATGTTTTTTCAAGAAAATCAATTAAATCAAACCAAACCAACTCATTATTAATTGACTTGGTTTGGATAGTAAATTATTTTTTGATAAATTTGATCTAAAATAAACCCATCAAAATTAATTGGTTCATACTTTAGTTTATCACAAATTCAAATCAAACCGGTTCATAAATACCTTTTAGTAATGATTTTGTAGCTTTTTTTTTTAAATATTTAGAAAAAAGTATATTTTTTCTTCACGTTAGTTTTACTCAACTCGGATAAAATCATCTCTAATTGATCATTAATTAAAAAAAGAATCCGATAAAAAAGCAAAAGAGATAAGTTTATTACTTTTGTTGAATTATCATCCATCTGTCTTATTTACAACCCTCATAACTTATGGCTTATATAAGGGCATTTCGGAAACAAGTTATAATAATTAAAAAAAAATAAAAATTACCATGATTGAAACCAAGTGAAAACAAGGGTCTAGAGACATTGGATTCTGACAAAACCATCAAACTCCAACCCTTCACCCCAAAGAAAAGATAGAATTGACTTGAGTAACTCACTCACTCACTCCTATAAATACCCCCATACCAACTTCAACCTTTCCTTCATCCCAAGCTACTCCAATTCGTTCACTGTTTAACACATTAATTATCGCGTTTTGCTTAATTAGTTCTTTCAACATGGCCAAAGGAAATTCTCCCCTTGAGAGACCTAGGGCTAGCTTTGCTTCACTCGATCAAAAATTGGCCTTAGCTAAGCGCTGTTCTCATGGTACAATACATCTTTTCTTTCCTTTTTCTTAATTCTTCCAATTTGTTTGCTACAAAACCTATACTTTGTACAACAAATTTTATGATAATATATACAAAGAAAGATTCGTTTACTTCTAAAGTATGTCTACTTAGACTTATTCTGCTTTTTTTTTGGTAAAGTGACTTATTCTGTTTAATAACTCATGTTCTACATTAAATTTCAACGATCTAACAGTTAAATTTAAAGTTTTTAATATATAAATCAAGTCTGTAAATTTTTGAAAATTTTAAAAATTATTTGATATTTTATTTCATTAGTTCAAATTAACGGATGATCATAAAAATATTTTATATATTAATTTGAATTAATAAAATGAAGTATTAAATAATTTTTAAATTTTTTAAAAATTTATAAATCTATACATTAAAAACTTTAAATTTAACAATTAAATTATTAAAATTTGATGTATAAATATGAGTTATTGAACGAAGTAAATCTATATAAATCTACTCATACAATACAAAGGTCATTCCCCTCTCTCTATATATATATGAAAGCACAAGTTATGTTCTTGAAATTAATAATTGATTGTTAGCCTGTTAGGGAAGAAAAATGCCACAACTATAAACATAATATTGAATCGATAAAAGCATATAAGTGAATTTGGATTTACTTTCTTTAAATGAAGAAATGTATAAAATGAGAAAGTATTAAAATACATTTTAATTTTAAGTCAAAGGGACACACATTTTTGCTTTAATTTATGTATTTACTCACTGGACAAATATCCTTTAAATTCTCCATTTATAGATGACACTCCGGTGATTTATCAGTCATTCTTATAGATAAAGGAGAAACCCCTTTAGCTTTGGTGGGAGGGGACCAAACACATGCATGGCCATTGGCCACAGGTCACAAAATCTTCCACACGATATTTTTCTAAATTCTGCCGTAAAATCAATTCCCTCCTTTCGACTAATTCTGATATTGATGAGAATTTTTGTCGATTTGCCAATGAGGTAGCGAGACTTTTGCAAATTTTTTTTTACATTATTAACCAATAAAAATGTCACTCACATGATGATTTTTAAGATAGCTATTCAAGTGAATAACTTACAATAAATAATAATGATTTATAATTGAATGATAATATAAAACTGTTTTACATCCTTGTTACATTTTTTTTCCTGTCTTATTAGTTAATATTTTAATGTCTAATGTATAAAATAAATATTTATTTTATATAATAAAAATTTTCATTTATGATAATTTGTATTATAAAACAATAATATTTTTTAAGGGTCGATAATTTTTGTTAAACATTGAAATTTATTTTAAAATAAAGATTAAAAGATTAGATAAAAAAAAGATATAAGAATGAAAAAATTCTAATAAAAACTTTTATTAACTTTTTTCTTAAAAACACTCTCGTTAAATATAACAACTTTCAAAAATATTTTCATTCAACGTAATTATCTTTATGTTTTCATTCATCAAAATTACCATGAAGTTACAAACTAAAGATTGGAACCTAGGACTGGTACATTCAACATAACTATCTTGATCTATGACAAAAGAAAATATGCACATTAGTAATGAAAAGTTTTTTAAGCATAGAAACTTATTCGTTAAAGTCTTGGTTCATATATTGATAAAATTATTGATTTGGGTTCACCTTCTGTTTTCATTTTGTGTGTAAACAGAGGGTGTAGTAGCTGGAGCAAAGGCAGCAGTTGTTGCCAGTGTTGCCTCTGCCATTCCAACTGTAAGTATTTTTCCAACCTTCTCAGTTCATTTTCTTTAACTCAGTTTTTTGCTCACAAGTTCTTCACTGTGCTTGGTGTGCAGCTGGCTACTGTGAGGATGCTGCCTTGGGCAAGAGCCAATCTCAATCACACTGCTCAAGCTCTCATCATTTCCACAGGTTTCAACTATACAAATATATAAAAGCTTTAAAAACATGATTCTTTTTTACAATTTTTATGATCAAAATAAGATAAAACTTTAAAACATATTTACTTTCTATCCTGAAAATTATTTCTAACTAGGGCTGAGTAGATACACTAAGTTTCGTTAAGCATTTGGAATTTACTGATAATTGATCATTTTTCTCAAATCATTTAATCATGTTTAATTTTTAAGTCCAATCAGTCGTGATTATGCAAATTTAATATATGGAATCTTAAACTAGCTCACAAACTTCACAAATTAAGAATCATTAGGATTAGTCTAGTGGTTGGGTGGGAGAATTAGGGTAGTTAGAAGTATCAGGAGCTAGGTTTAATCTTTATTACAATCATCTTTGTAATCTTTCCTATCTTTATTAAAAAAAACTTCACAAATTAAATTTTAAGGCATTAAAATTTTAATATTTAGTTGTGAATTTTGACTTTTAAACTATGAAGACATTAAAATTATGTTTAATATGAGTATATTTTTTATTTTAATTATTTTATAAAATATTTTGATATTTTTATTAGAGAATTTGAGACTACCATATAAATATTGATAAAATTTTTAACCTTAACACTTTAATATTTAGTATTTTTAAATTATTCCAAATGTTTGTATTTTTAAGTGTGATAAATTTTAACTTCAAAATAATAATATATTTTTTTCAGATTTCTAATTTTATGCATTTTTTATTTTTTAAAAATAAATTTTAAATCATTAATTAGATCTGGAAATCAATTTATTTATCTACATATTTTGGCAAACCAAATACATATATAAAAAAAATTACTTACTCTATAAATCAAAATTATCCAATTCATTTAAAATATAAATTTTATGAATCAGAATTTAAACAGATCAAAACGAAGTAACACCCTTAGCCTAACTTTTATATTTTGATTGCAGTGACGGCTGCAGCATATTTCATAGTTGCTGACAAGACTGTTTTAGCAACTGCAAGGAAGAACTCATTCAAGCAACCCTCCAATTCTGAAGCATAAATCCAAATGAATTAATAGCATATATGGATATTGTATTCGATTATGGCACATTATCCAAATGCCAATCCATCACGTTGGTGTTATTTATCTAATAAATAAAGAGACATGTTCATATTTTTATATTTATGAACCACATTTGTAATTATATTTTTTATTTAGTCATTTTTTTCGTCACTTAATTTTTTTTTTTCCTCTTCTTTTCTTACTCATAATGGGCAGGAAGCAAAGGCAGTTGCCATGGGTTCATTATTGAAAGGAGTCTCAAAATAGATGCAGTTTAATTTTTTTTTTTAAATATTATTTTATTTATCTTAACTTTTCAAGTCCCAAAATTACAAGTTATTATGCAAAAACAAACCAGACAATAACATTTCAAAAAAAAAGAAATTAGACCTAGGAATAATCCAAACCAATTTCATATCGATCTGACTTATAATTCATAATTTGTTTCATCTTTTACTACTTTTAGAAACATATTGGCACTAGTATTTTCACTACAATAAAATTAGATTTTTAGTAGTATTTAATATGATTTTTTTAGTAACAATAAAAATTGTTGAATGTATAAGTTTTTGTGCCTTTTCTTATTGGTATTTAATATTTTTTTGCTATTGTTACTAAAAATTTAAGAAAAATTTTATAATATTCTTTAATTATTTTATCTCTAGTTGATGAGAGACTTGTAAGATAAGAGTTCTTATCTACTTATATATTCTTTAAATTTTTTTCAATTATCTTATTTTATCTATAGTCGATGTGAGACTTGTGCATTACAAGAAATGTTACATATAGTGACATACAAAAAGTGTCACTATAGGTATAATATATGTAGGTATATATCTATTTGACATATAGTTACACACAATTTTAGTGTTGATTTTAAATGAGATTTAACAATATATTTTGTGTGTCACTATAGCCTATACCCACATTTTTTAATAATATACCAACATATATTATAGTTATTGTGTGGGTAAAAGTAATTTTTAGTGACATATATAGTGTCACTATAGGGTATGTGTCATTATATGGCAATTTTGTTGTAGTGGTGACACCCTTACTACCCCAACACATATATTGTAATAATGAAAACTTAACAAAAACAATTTTCAATTTCGGTAAAAGGGTTCACATGAGAATCTTCAAAATTGTTCTTCAATAACCACAACGATAAAAATGAAACGTGAGAGTTTACAAATGATTTTCAAAAATAATATTTACAATTCTAATTTCATATAACAATCTATGTCCTAAAGAAAATCCTCTGCCCCGATGTCACAATATCAGAGCATAACCACAACTCAACCGTTAGCATTCTAGATGTCACTCGTAGCCGGATCTTCCTCACCTAAAATATCCACAAATCGCACGGTGAGAAAAGAAAACATCTATATATATAGCACATAAGAAAACACAACATATTATCTCATTATAACTAAATATTCATAAATATTTCAACATATCGTATTTCAATCAATCATACATCGTCATCACGTCATAATTCTCAATCACACCAATCATCACAAATCTTGCACTTCACACTATGCCAAGGTCACGCTACCCATTTAACAATCTCAGGCCGTGCTCACCCCTGATATAACACTGTGCCAAGGTCACGTTATCCCTATCCCAGGGCCGTGCTCACCCTTGACATGTTAACCAAGGTCACGATACCCACGTAACAATCCAGAGCCGTGCTCACCCCTGATATAACACTGTGCCAAGGTCACGTTATCCCTAACCCAGGGCCGTGCTCACCCCTGACATGTTAACCAAGGTCACGATACTCATGTAACAATCCAGAGCCGTGCTCACCCCTGATATAACACTGTGCCAAGGTCACGTTATCCCTAACCTAGGGCCGTGCTCACCCCTGACATGTTAACCAAGGTCACGATACTCATGTAACAATCTCGGGCCGTGCTCACCCCTGGTCATAGGTGTGAAGAACCACAATCACATCTCATTCACATCCACATTCACATCTACATCCACATCTACATCCACATCCACATCCATATCCACATCTACATCTCAATTCCACAATATATACACAATCCGCACAAAATGGTGATTCACATACCCCTCAAGTAATTCATCATCTAGATCATCAAATAATATAACAATAACATTCATAAACTAATATAACAAACAACAGAATTATCAATTTAATATAATTTTAACGTAAACAGTAAAATCCCCAATTGTTCCAAAACCTAACTCACAGGCACTTTTCTACAATTTCGTTCTCCCTCTCAGATCATCATTCTTACAAATTATTAGCATATCTATAATCCTCAACACATACAGAATCTAATGGGATCCTCAATTTCTCAAACAGAAATCATCCAATTTTTCACAACCTAACTTACAGGCACTTTTCTATAATTTCGTTCTCTCTCCCAGAGCATCATTTTTACAAGTTAAACATATATTCGTAATCCTAAATATATATAGAATCACATAAGATAATTAATTCTCCAAACATAAATAATTATAAAATTATTCATAACCCTAAGGGCTCTTCCTCTACCCAATTCCCTCATGTAACTCTACATATAAATAATCTCCTTTTCCCCCGTACCTGGATAAATAGGAACTCGGGCAGAACCTCCTCTTTTTCCTTAAACAAGGATCGGAACTAAATCTGGGACAGAACCTCATCCTCTGAGTTCCTCTTGGTCTTCAGAGAGAAGAAGAGGAACGAAAGAGAGAACAGAAGAGAAGAGAGAGTGAGAATGAGAGGTGTGTAGAAATGAGAGGATTTGAGGCCTATTTATAGGATTTTTCGCCCACCTACCACTACGGCCCGTTCCAAAATCGGAACGGCCCGTTCTGGGCCCTTCAAACCTACGCAAATTTTTGAACTGGAACGGCCCGTTCCAAAACCAGAACGGCCCGTTCCCAATCCCAGCAGAACGGCCCGTTCTCCCTCCGGAACGACCCGTTCTCCAAACCAGAACGGCCCGTTCTCCCTCTGGAACGGCCCGTTCTCCAAACCGGAACGGCCCGTTCTCCCTCTAGAACGGCCCGTTCTGATTCTCAAATTTTGGGCCTTTAACTTATTCCAGAACGACCCGTTTCACTTTTGAAACGGCCCGTTCTGGGCAACGAATTGGGCCTACGGCCCATTGAAAATTGGGTTGTTACAAGACTTATATTTTTTTCCTATTCTTTTTAATTGTTTTATCTTATTTTCTAAGAGATGTAGAACTTGTAAAGTAAGAGTTGCTCTCTACTTATATACTCTTTAATTATTTTATCTGTAGTTGATATGAGACTTGAATATTTTTCTTAATTTTTTTTAATTGTCTTATCTCTTAAAAGATGTGGAACTTACAAGATTAGAGTTGCTTCCTATGAGAAAAGATTAATTTTTAAATAAAAATAAAATTTAAATTTATGAAAGGAAGGATAAAGACTTGGTCTTCAAATAACGGAGCAGCTACAACTAACAAATAAAACATAAATAAATAAATAAATAAATAAAGATAAGAGGGAAAATGGTTACCAACTGAAAATTAGAGATAATAAATGCTAAAAAATAGGGAGCCTATTAGATAATGAAAAAAAAAAAAAAAGTTACAAGCCACCTTCCTAATAAAAAAAAAAGGGGATTGGAGAGAAAGAGGGGATGGTTCCAATTCTCACCATGTTTTTCTAAAAAAAAAAAAAAAAAAAAAAAAAAAAAAAATTCTTGTATCAAGTTGCACGACACACTCTCATCTAGAATTGACCTTTCAGTTTCAACATCGTACAAGAGTCTTCCATCTCAAATTTATATTCAGGTTTTTTTTTAATAATTCTACTTATCATTACTAAGTTTTGTTTTGTTTTTTTTCCTTTTAAGATGTCAATAAATATATCATTTATCTTCTTTTTTTTTGTTGTTATTTGATTTCGTCTCATATAATCGGAATATAGAAGTTTAAAAAAGTATTAATATGCGTTTTCACAAATATCAAGAATGAGATAGCAGCAACATGACTCGCATAAAGTAATCCTGGAGTAATATTTCGTTTTGTGAATTAATGTGAAACGATATTATGAGAACAATATAAATGGATTAGGTAAACGTTCTTTGTTATTTTAAGCTATAGGATGGTATGTTTTTGTTTCCTTTTATTTCTAGATTTCAGTTATGGAGAATAATTTGATAACGTATGTGGTATCATTTACGTCCATAGTTTCCTTTTCATTTTTCTCATCAAAATATTATAATTTTGAATATGGAATATAAAATCTGATATTTTTAACGAAAAGGTTTCCTTTAATATTTGAGTAATATTGTATTGATGAATAATATTTTAACTTTTATAATAAATTTATTTTTGTGATAATTTTTATCTTTAAATATTATTTAAATCATAAGAGTCCATAGAATAGTAATGAATTTTGCGTATGGGGTAAAATATATATTTTTTTAAAAGAGTTATTCTAATATTAAAACGATTAATAATGTCAATTGAATAATATAAATATTTTTTTTTAAAAGAGTTATTCTAATATTAAAACGATTAATAATGTCAATTGAATAATATTTTTATTGTTGACATTATTTGCTTATGAGAGTTTAATAACTAATCACTTGTTAGCTTAAATTCTTGAGTAAGGATGATTTAAAAAATAGGAAAGTCATCATCTTTTGTTCAAATAATAATTCAAAAAAATATTTTTATTATAATTAATAGTATTATTTGAATAACAATTCTATTTTTAATACTATTTTGAGAGTTTAATGATTAACCATTTGCTAACTTAAATTCTTATCCGAGTTTTCTCTTTTAAAAAAAAATAAAAGAGGTTTATTTCATATATAAATTATGTTCTTGTATGCAATGGTTTGTGATGTTTAATTGAATAGCATTTCTACCTTTAATATCACGTGAATCATAAGAATTTATATAATAATATTTCTCTATCATGAATTTTTATGTTTAGAGTAAATTATTTTCTTGAAAAAAATATTCTTTAAAATTTACTTTAATATCACTACAAGAAAAACGCAAATTTTTATGTCACAAAATATAAATTTTCTGACAGATTTGTCTCCGTCGAAAATTTCTTACGGATTTTTCCGTCGAAAAATTTATGTTTTTTATGAAAAAAAATTTCGTAGGAAAAGTTATATTA